GGCCAAAATGAAAAGGACTGATAGCATTAAGTGTTGACATGGATTTGGAGCAACAGGAATGCTCACACGCTACTGAAAGTTGTTGTCACTACAGCTACTTTGCAAAACAAGTCGGCACTTCTCAGGATAGTCATAAAATGCTCACAGTAGGACCTAGCAATTGCACACCTAGGCAGTTGCATTCTTAGTTTCCTGCAGCTAGTGAGGATATTCCATTCTGCCCAAGCCATATGAGCTGAGACTTGATGGTGGAGAGCCTCCGTGAAGGAAAATGGGGTTATTACACCAGGAAAAGGGGCACAAAACCACACATATGCCCTACAAATTATTATAATGAAAGGTAACACTTAGGTGCCACTTGCAAATATTAACTCGTTTCGTCCGCACACCAACCCTATGAGATAAGTACTATTATTTCCCCATTCTATGGATGGGGAAACTGAAGACACCGAGAGATGACTAGCTACCTCAATGGGGGTTCTCGTGAGCCATTAAATGGCTCAGTGGGAATAAAATGCTCAGCACAGTGCCTGGCACATAGTAAATGCTCAACAAATACCAGCGATTTCTGACATTTTTATCATTAGACCAAGACTAAAATTTCACCTCTGCCCGGGGCTCCCAGTATCTTGGACATCCCCAGCTGCCTTTCCTACCTAGACCTGTGAAGAAATCACAAAACCGCTCTCTCAGGACCTATCTTGGCCCAGCTTGGATGGCCAGGGGGTCAGCTGGTCCCCGATCCTGTGCCGTTAAGTAGAGTCCAGGGGGCTGTGGAGAGAGGGCTGGACTGCTGCCCAGCCTCACGGGCTTCCAGCCAGATCCGCCTGCCCCGGGATCTGGAAGGAGCAGCACTGTGGCCCTTTCAGGGGAGGGAGGGCGAGGCCGGCCGCACCTTCTATATTCCCTTCCCGCAGGGCAGCTCTGCCCGCCAGTCATTTTCTTGGCAGCTTAACCCCAGAGGTTCACTGCGGTGCTAAAAATAGGCTGTGTTTAGACATTCGGATCTCCGCCTGGAAACACGGGCTGCAGTAACCAAATGCCACCATTCCCGCCGAGGGGGCTCTGGGCCGTGGCCCTGTAGAAATGCCCGCTAGCCCTGGGAGGGGAGCCGGGTAGGCGTCATCTGCCACGCTCGACAGATGGGGAAACTGAGGCTCAGAGGGGTCTCACGTAAAACGAAGAGGCATGAAGCGATGGTTGCCAGCTCTTAGCAAGCACACACTCCATCCAGCCTTAGGGAGCCTCTCATTGAATCCTCCCCAAACCCCAGGAGGGAGAGTCTACGGTCAAACCCCACTTAATGGAGAGAAAGCTGCAGCTCAGAGGTGGTGACACCTGCCCTGGCCTCATAGCTGCACTGACCAAGGAGGATGCTAATGCGGTCACGGTTTCCCACGTGGAATGAACAATTGGAGACTGCGAGGCAGAGGGGCTTGTTGAAGGCCAACCGAGCCCCCACCCGAGGCTGTGGATACGCAACCTGTGGATCAGGGAGGACCTTCACACCTGCTCACAGGCTGCCAGGAGGGACAAGGCTGTAAGAATGTGTTTGTAAAACCTTTAAATAGTGTCTGGCATATAGTAGACGCTCAACAAGTGGCAGCTAGCTTCATTTCCCCATGATCTTTGGGGTAGAATTTCTGTCAGAGAGAGAGAGAGAGAGAGGTGCTTGTGTGGGGAGGAAATGATGGATGGATATGAGAGGCAGAGAAGACTTTGGGGTTCCCTTGGGTAGGTGAGACTGCGGCTCAACAGGGACCCTGAACCCCTGGCCCAGCCAGAGCTGAGTAATGCAGGATGTCACCTCCACAGAGCCTGAATGGACAGTGCTCCGAGGCGGTCACCGGGTGCTCTGACTCCTGGCGTGGAGCCGTGGGTGTAGCTCAAGCCCTGGTGGGGAGGCTGGTCACTGATTCTTTGCATTCATCTCCCCCACTGGTGTTTCCTGGGGACCCGCCGCACCACATGCTGGGGCTAACACAGTGAGAGGTCAGACATGGTCCTACCCCGTGGAGCTCAGATCCAGTTTGCTCTCCCTCCCGACTCGCCCCTGCCTCCCAGCACTGGCAGGGTGGTATGGGAGGCTCAGTCAGCACCCCCTTCCCAGGAGGAGCCCCCTCCTCAGTCCCTTCCTGGGAGGGCCTGTTCACTCCCCACCCCATCAAAGCCTCCGTCTGTTCCCTGACAGTTCCCAATGAGCTCATCATCCTCTTAAAACCCACTTGGCACCCACTCAGAGAAAAGATGTGCTGAAATAGAAAAGAATGAGAAGGGAACAACAGTAAAGGAGTAGGCCCAGAAATACCCTCAGAGAGAGAAAAGGCCAGGGAGAACACAGCAGCCCAAATCTTTGCAACAGCTGCTTGGCAAATGGCTTCAGGGGCTGCTCACGTGTGCCCATGAGAGGGGTGGGGGCGGGGCCCTTTTCTTGAGCACCTACTATGTGCCAGACACTCTACCTGCAATTTTTTTAAAATATATTTTTATTGATTTCTGTGAGGAAGGGAGAGGGAGAGAGAGATAGAAACATCAATGATGAGAGAGAATCATTGATCGGCTGCCTCCTGCACGCCTCTTACTGGGGATTGAGCCCACAACCTGGGCATGTGCCCTTGACTGGAATAGAACCCGGGACCCTTCAGTCCACAGGCCGATGCTCTGTCCACTGAGCCAAACCAGCTAGGACCTCTTCCTGCAATTTTTAATTCAATCCTCCCAGCAATGTATCTGTGTGATGTCAAGATTCTTATGTTTACTTCACAGATGAGGCACCTCAGTGGGTGCAAAGAGGTGTCTTGCCCCCATGGGAGAGGCAGGATTTGAACCTGGGTCGGCCTGCCTCCAGAGTCCATGCTTTTGCCTGAAAGCCTCTGGAGGGTTGGCAACCCCTGTCCATCCCATGAGGGCTGCTGGCCTTTTCTCATCCTGGCCCAGATGCAAAAACATCTGGCATGTTCTTGCACATGGAACACCAGGAGGCACCATCCACTGCCAGGAAGCTTCCAAGTGACAGTGTGATCACAAAACTCCCGTGATCCCCACATGCGATGTTAGAGCCCAGCCCCGGCTCCTGAGCTTGGCGTCCCAGGCTCCCCATGGTCCGGCCCCTGCCCACTGCTTACCTGTGTTCCCACCATGCCCAAAGCTCCTTCCCCCCCAGACCCTCCCCCCTTCATCTGTGCAGTTCCTCCTCCCTGGGGTGTCCTTCTTGAGAGACCTGCCAGCTCAAAGACCCTTATTTTTCAAACCCTTACTTTTCTGGGCTCTCACATTCCAAGGACTCCTCACCCCCTGGTCCTCAAACCCCCTAACATTGTAAAGCCAAATCTGAGTGCCTATGTACAAGCATTCTTTTCTGTGTGTATGTCTGTAATTTTCATCAGGTTCTCAAAGGGATACAAGACCAGTCTAGACACAAGGTTAGGAATACAGCCTGTGAAATCCCCTGGCCCTGGGTTCACACCCCAGCTGCGGTTTTCTAACTGTGTGGCCCTGGACAAGTTACTTAACCTCTCTGAGCCTCATTTCTCTCCTCTGTAAAATCAATACAGATCTCCCTCATAGAATTGTTATGAGGATGAAATCAGAGTACTATGTGTTTAGAGCAATGTCTGGCACACAGTAAGTGCTCAACAAACATGAGTTATTCATATTAATTGCTGTTCTATATCTTATACTTACATCTACTACAGGATTTATCACTGTCTATCTGTACAGTGATTTAGTGTAGTGATTATTTAAATTGCTGTTTCCCAAGGGGAGGTTCTGAATTATCTGAAAGCAGAGACTCTGAATTATTTATTTCTGCATCCCAAGCACACACAAGATAGGCAAGAAACACGTGTTTTTAAATGAATGGAAGAATGGGTCGCTGAGTAGATAGGTGGAGAGTTAGATAGATGAAGTGCTGTTACAGTTCAGATGGGTGGATGGATGGATTAATGGTGGGTGGATGGAGGTGTAAGTAGATTGATGGTTGGATTAAGGAATGGATGATGGATGGGTGGATAGATTGTGACTTGATGGATGGATGGGTATGTGGACTGATGGATGGATTAAAGGATGATGGAGCAATGGATGGATCTATGGGTGAACAGATAGTTTGACCCCACCAGGGCATGGATTGGGGGCTGTTTTGTTCAGTGATCAGAACAGTAACTGGTGCATAGTAGGTGCTCAGTACTTAGTCCCTGGGTGAATGGAAAGGTATATGGGGGATTGGCCGTCTCTACCTTGAACCACAGTTAATTAAATTCCCGTGCTACTGTCTGGATTAGGAGGGACTGTTACCATTCTGATGGCCCAGTGGCTGACAGTTGAATCCATGTTTTGACCAAGATTGTGATGAGGCCCCCTGCTGGTGTTAATATGAAACAACACCAGCCAAACTGAGTTTTCTTTTCTCTTTTCTAATTTACTTTCTATTTTTCTCCTGGTGATGATCCTGAAGGTTTACTCTTAAAGCAGTGGTTCTGAAACCTTTGTGCTCATCACCATCACCTGAGGGCACCTCGTTACACCTTAGGTTTTCCCTTCTCTTGGTTGGAGAAGTCAGGCATCTTTAACCAGGCTTCTAGGTGACTCTGAATCCGATGCTTTTCAGACCACACTCTGAGGGACCCTGTCCAAAGGGTGAGCCCCTGCTGGTCACTTGGAGGCAGTGCAGATGGGCTGCTGCTTCAGGGACCGTCTCCAAATTCCCAAGTGACATCCAGACCACGTGGGGAAAGGACACAGTCAAAAAAGGCAGTGGATAAAAGCTGTGGTTTTACATTTGGACGATCCTGAGTTCAAATCCCAATGCCACCACTCACCATTTCTGTGGCCTCAGTTTCCTCATATGTAAAATGGGGAAATAGTGACCTCCCATAGGACCATGGGGAAGACTAACTGAGATAATACACACAGAGGGCTTGGCACAAAGCAGGGTAAATCGTAGCAAATGAATATGTTACTAAATAAACCTTTTATTTTTTCCTTTTCTTCCTTGGATAAAGGAGAGGGACCATGGACTTGACCTTTCCCACTAGAATGTGAGCCTTTCTCATTCACAGCTTTATCTCCAGCACCCAGGACAGTGTCTGCTACATATAGTAGCTGCTCACTGAACTTTTATTTTTAAAAAAAATGGCTCTGGCTGGTGGGGCTCAGTTGGTTGAGCGTCATCCCATGCACTGAAAGGTTGCTGTTCCCTGGTCGGGGTGCACACAGGAGGCAACCGATCCAGAGGCAACCGATCGATGATTGAAATGTTCGAGAGCCTTCGAGCTCCGGCCTCTGTGTGGAAGCTTCTCATGCCAGTGTCTGTGCTGCGTTGCAGGTGGCAGCCCTGAGCCCTGATGCTTGACCGGATGGAAGCCCACCAGCTTCTGTTTCCACAAGTGGACACACAGAGCGTGGTCCCCAGCTGGGAAAGAAGCCGGAAACGGCCTCGGTGAAACAGTCCAGCCCCAACCGGCCTGAGCAGCTGAGAAAGGCGAGGAGGGCGCTGTGGCTGCTGCTGACCCGCGAATCCTCCTCCACTTGCTCCTCTCAAAGCTCTGTGGGGCTCTCTGAGGCCAAGAACAAGATGTAGGAAAATGGGACCAACTCCTGGGTGTCCTGAGCCTCAAAACTCCTCTTGTGGCCCAAAGACGCTCACCTTGACCTTGGGTGGGCTGGTCAGCCACGTGCTAGACGCCCTCCAGCTCTGATCCTGGCAGTTGCCTTTGCAGAAGGAAGAAGACTGAAGGCTCCCAGGGGTTCCAACCCTAAGGGGAGCTGGGGAAAGGAAACCCCCTCCATCCCTGCCCTGTGGCCCCTCCAGCCAAGCCCCGGCCAGCCAGTCCGGAATGATCCCGCTATGGCCAAGCTCTGGTTCAAGTTCCAGCGGTACTTCCGCCGAAAACCTGTGCGTTTCTTTACCTTCCTGGTGCTCTACCTGACGGCCGGGAGCCTCGTCTTCCTTCACGCTGGCTTTGTGGGCCAGCCGGCCGTCTCCCAGAACCAGGCCAGCCCTGCCGCCAGGGCCCCGGCCGAGGGCGCCGAGCTGCCCTTCCTCGGAGACTGGCATCTGGGCAGAGGCTTCAGGGACGCGGGGGAAACCTTGAGCCTCGCCCACAGATACGGACACGGACCCTGGTTCAAGGGCAAAGATGGGAATGAGAGAGCCAAGCTGGGCGACTACGGAGGTGGAGCCTGGAGCCGAGCCCTCAAGGGGAGGGCTGTCCGGGAGAAGGAGGAGGAGCGAGGTAAGAGGGGCGAGCACCTGGGCATGGAGGGGGCTGAGATGCTGGGGGAGAGGGGACTTCAACATATGGATTTTAGGGGGGACACAACACCTCTGTTTCTATTCCCACTTTTCAGGCAGGAGAACAGTGTCTCTGGGAGCTTAAGTAATAAATAGCACAAGGCCACTGCTGTGGCAGGATCTGAACCCACAGTCTCCTGTTTGTGAATCTACCCACAGACAGTGAATAAAAGGGATACAAATTAGTCACGGTTAGCTCCCCTTTTAACAAATCACCTTTATTGAAGAGAGCAACATTTCTTGGAGAAGAAGATTAACTGAAGCAAAAGACAAAAGGAAAGGAAAGGAAAAAACACCACGGGGAGGGCATTTTCCCAAGCTCAGCCCTTGCTGGTCTCTGGGCTTGAGACAAATAGCCCAGCTGTGGCGACTTTGCCATCTCAGCGATATGTGCACAGCGGTGGAGACGAGCTGATAGATGGTGTGGCCTCAGCCATTCATCCACCCTCAAGTGGCCTGTGACGTGGACTGTCTTAGACCCCTGGCCTCCCCTTCTTGTCTGAGGGATTCTGCCGCCTGGGCAAGATTTGAAGGCGGGGCTCTGGGGAAAGGGCTGAAGTGGTTGGAGGCACCCACACGTATCTGGAGGCTAGGCAGGAGGGAGAACTCCGACAGGGACCACGTTGTGTTTGTCACCGCCTGCACTGAAGTGTCGGTGGGGAAGGTGTCCCCAGCCCTGGCCCAGGACGGGGAGGAAACTGCCTCCATATCCATATTTTGGCCAGGAGAGCTCAGCCACTCGGCAGGTTGGAGTGTGTAATATGCCCATGGGCCATGTGTCTTTTTATCCCTCCTATTGACAGATGAGGGAACAGAACATCATCTGTCCATGCAACAAGTCTCTTTTTTATAAATATAGTTTTATTGATTTCAGAGAGGAAGGGAGAGGGAGAGAGAGATGGAAACATCAGTGATGAGAATCATCGATCTGCTGCCTCCTGCACGCCCCACACTGGGGATTGAGCCCACAACCTGAGCATGTGCCCTGACTGGGAATCAAACCGTGACCTCCTGGTTTATAGGTCAGTGCTCAACCACTGAGCCACACCAGCCAGCCATACAAAAGTCTTTACATGGGGCATCTCATCCTGATGCCTGGCCTAGGGGAGGGAGAAGGAGGGGGTGCAGCAGCACTTAGAAGCCCAGGTTTGGGGGCACGTGACCTACAGTTGAATCCTAGCTCTTCTCCCAAGGAACCACTCTTCCCCATTCTCCCTCAATGAGGGACTCTCTGGTGAGGATGGAGGTGCCCTTCTGTCAGGCTGGGACTAGGTGTGGTGCGTGGAACAAAAGGAGTAGACAGGCCTGGCACGGATTTGCTCTAGACCCTCAGAGCTGCACAGACCCAAGCCACTTAGCTTGAGAATCAGCGTATCAGTCTTGAATCAGCTTAAGCCAGCCGTGGGCAAACTACGGCCCGTGGGCCAGATCCGGCCCGTTTGAAATGAATAAAACTAAAAATAAAAAAGACCGTACCCTTTTATGTAATGATGTTTACTTTGAATTTATATTAGTTCACACAAACACTCCATCCATGCTTTTGTTCCAGCCCTCTGGTCCAGTTTAAGAACCCATTGTGGCCCTCGAGTCAAAAAGTTTGCCCACCCCTGGCTTAAGCTAAAGAGGAAAATATACTGGGACTTGTCCCCAACTATGGAAGGGGCTGGATTTTTAAATGAATGTTTTCTTACTCTCTTCTCTGCTGTGTCTGCCTGAGCTTGGTTCTTCAACACAGAGTGACTTTGGTACCAGGGATTGTGACTTTAGAGAATGCCAACGTCACATCCCAAGGGAAACCGATCTGCCCCCCCACCCCACCCCGCCCAGCTTTAATTTATAAGAATCGAACAAATGGGTCATGTGCCCTTCCCCAGAGCAATCCATCACTGGCTGGTGGGAGAGACAATACTGATTGGCCCTGCCAAGGTGAGTGTCTCCCCGTGGTCACAGGGCATGATCCCATCTGTGGCAGGAGGGACATACGTTGTTGAACAAGCACAGTGACGAGACGTGGGCTCCCCTAGAGCTGTCACCGTGTGATACGCCTGCTCCAGGGAGGCAATGCTTCTCTTAAAAGATGAACTGTTCTTAGTCGGCCAGATCACCTCTGTCTCTCGCAAGAAATTCAAGGTGATGGAGGTCGAGGCGCATCTCCTGCGGGGCTGACGAATCCTGTACTTAGCAGAGCAGTGTTGAGGGGCACCATGCAGCGAGCTGGCTCCCTCTGCTAGACCCTGCTCTGCAGCAGGAGTGAGGGGGCGAGAAGCCCGCAGTTTAGACAGACAGCAGCCAGCCAGGGAGAGTGAGCAAGCGGCATGTGGTATTGGCCTCGGTCATCCCTATGGGGGCCGTGTAATTCCAGGGCTGGCTGGATCCTTCGTCCAATTTCCAGCTGCTTCCTTCCAAGTGGAGTGGAGGAAAGAGCACTGGTTTGGGATCCCATGGAACCTTTGTTCTCATCCCAGTTAGCCGCAGCGTTCAGGCAGGCCATTCCACCTTTCTGGGCCTCTGATCAGTCATCTAAGAAGAGTGTGAGTGCCCCGGGCCAGTGTGGCTCAGTTGGTTGGGCGTCAACCCCTGCACTAAGAGGTCACCAGTTCAATTCCTCGTCAGGGTACATGCCCAGGTTGTGGGCTCGATCCCCATGCAAGAGGCAGTTCATCGATATTGCACTTACACTGACATTTCTATCTCTCTGTCTCTCTAAAATCAATAAAAACATTTAAAAAAGAGAGAGAGAGAGAGAGAGAGAGAGAGAGAAGAGTGTGAGCACGCCAGCACTTCCCCCTTCACGTGGGTCATCGCAAAGCTCCCCAGAGTTAAGAAGCAGCAAGATGGGCCAGAGTGTATGGGTCCGACCCTGGGTTCAGATGCGCAAGCTGTAGTTCCTTGGGCAAGTGACTTCACCTCTCTGGGCCTTGGTTTCCTCTTCTGTGTAGACTGAGGATATTAGTACTTATAGGATCATTGTAAAAACTCAACATGTAAAGCACCTGGCAAATTCTATGTCCAAATTAATAGTAATTGTCAGACCTATGGGAAAGGACTTTATAAATGGTGTGATCTTCGTAGGTGAGAATTGCTATTTACCACGAAGTACAGGGAGGCATTTACTACCTTTAAGAAAATGAAGTACCTAGTAGATGGTCGTTGGACATAATTTAAAATTTCCCTTCGGATGGAAGCGTTCACCTTGGCCCACAGTGGAGGCAACCTGTGAAGTTCACACGCAGCACTGTGACTGGCCAGTGTCTTATCCCCTCCCCTTAACGTCAGGCCTGCTGTATGCAACACACTATGGTAGAAACATTGACACAAGTCGTCCCCTTTTAACCTCGCTGCGTTGGTATTCTCATCCCCACTATGAAGAAAGCTAGGCTAAGAGAGGTTAACTGGCCCAATCTTCCCCCCGCCCCTCCCCAGGCCAGGGCTAGAAGGTGACCAGGGCTAGAGGAAGGCCTTGACCTTGAGTCCCGTGTTCGTTCTTAAGGCCTCTTGTAGAAATAATAACATGATGTCGAGGGTCAGGCTCTTCAGAGCTGTCTCAGTGTGGGCCTCATTGTTTGGATTCCCGCGGGCCCACTCATCACCAGTGGAGCTCGGGGTTGACCTTAACCCTGGCCACAGAGGAGTCCCCTCCTCGGCTCTGCTGGCCTCCGGAGCCCCCAGCCTTACCCCTGAGACTCCACTACCCTTAGGGACCAGGTTCTACCAATGCCCATGACCGTCAGTCTCTCCTGGCTGCTTTTCTGCTCAGAGGAAGGAATTGGTACCAAGAAGTCCATGAGGCCACACAGCCAAGGCACCTGCTCACTCCTGTCACCCTTTCAGCCTTGACCCCAGCCCCGTCTGACTTTTCTCCTCTCCCCAAAGCCAAGTACATCGGCTGCTACCTGGACGACACCCAGAGTCGGGCCCTGCGAGGCGTGTCCTTTTTCGACTACAAAAAGATGACCGTCTTCCGTTGCCAGGACAACTGTGCAGAACGGTAGGGCCCTGACGTCCCAGGCTCCATTCGTTTCGGACCCCTTCCTTCTCAGGTTCCTGCCTGTGGTGTTCTTTTCCATGGGAGCATGTGATGGAGGGTGAGCATGTGGCCACAAAGAAAGGGTTTTGTAAGGCTGTGGATGCATAAGTGCGTATGTGCGTGCGTGCGTGCGTGCGTGTGTGTGTGTGTGTGTGTGTGTGTATGTGTGTGTGAAGCATGCCTTGTGCTGAAGGTGTATACAGGTGGCAGTCAATATGGCCATGGTATGTGTATGTGGATAGGTGAATGTGAATGGGGGTATAAGACACCAGGCGGCGATGAAGGCAGGTGGGTGGTCCCTAGGGGTCCTGGCCCCCAGAGCCCTCCCATCCCCAGGTCTCCTCGCTGGGTGAGTCTCCCTGTCCCCGGGGTCTCCATGTCTGCAGCTGCCCTGGCCTGACTGCAGCCTTCCCCAGGGGTTACCTGTATGCCGGGCTGGAGTTCGGCGCCGAGTGCTACTGCGGCCACAAGATCCAGGCAACAAACGTGAGCGAGGCCGAGTGCGACATGGAGTGCAAGGGCGAGCGAGGCAGCCTGTGCGGCGGCGCCAACCGCCTCTCTGTCTACCGGCTGCAGCTGGCCCAGGAGTCGGCCCGCAGGTGTACGTGAGTTGGCCACTGCCCCTCTCTGCGGCTCCTTCCTTGGCCAGCGGGCCCTGGCCCTCACCTGCCTACCTGCATGTATACCCCACACCTTCCATGGCTCCCATCACTCCCATGCTATTGGCTGCCCTCCAAGGCTGCCACAGTCCTGCCCAGACTCACCTCCCACCCACCCCGTGCAGAGCCCTTTGCTTCAGCTGCTTGGCATGTTTCCACCCCCCCCCCCCGAGTTGCCTGCTGGACCACTTGCCCCCATCTTCTTCCTTCATCTGAGCTAGAGCCTGAGCTGAGCCTGTCCTTCCTGAGTTTCTGAAAGCAGATTGTCTCTAACGATGATGACAATGACAATAACAATGACAGTGGCAAACAATGCACCCTCTGCTAAGTCCCTTACATGGAATAGTACATCTCATTCTCACACTCATGCTTCAAATAGGCACTATGAGTCACCTACTCCCATTTTACAGATGAGGAAACTGAGGCTCAGTGTCACGTAAACAGAGAATTGAAACCAACTCCAGAGCCTGTGTCTTTAATGCTCCCGTGGAGAGAGTTCATTTCTCACTTGTCAGTGTTTCAGTCTTGTTGGAAAAGTTCTCAGTTTCCAACCTGAGGGAGGGAGGAAAGGGGACGAATGGAGAGGATGGGAGCCGGGCCTCTGCTATGGACACCATCCCACTGTCCCCTCTGTGGATGTTTAAAAGCAATTAATATCTGAATGTCAAAATCTGCCCTGTTTCAGGCACCGTGCTAAGCCCACGGCAGGACCCATCTCATTTACCTTCCCTACAACCTTTCTGGGCAGGGATGTTACCATTGAGAATTTTACAGTGAGGAAAGCGAGGTTTAATGAATTTAAGTAAACCTGCCCAAGGCCATGCAGTCTAATTAAAGGTGACCTTCAGACCTGTAAAAAGAGCTAATGGCCTTGACAGAAGATGGAGGACTGAGGGTGGTCCTGTTTACCCTGGGGCCAGCGCTGCCCAGACTTGACCGTGCAGTTGAAGCCTATGGGGATCTTGTTAAAACGCACATTCTGATTCAGCAGGTCCAGGTGGGATACTGTGTTTTAAGGAGCTCCCAAGTGATGCTAGGCTGCTGGTCCAGGGACCGCACTTTAATAAGCAATAAGGCCTTAGGCCCCCCAGTGGAGCCCATAAGGCCCGCCTGGAATGCAGGCTTGCCCACACAGAACTTCACGCCTGTCTGCACGCACATGCCATTGTTTATAAAAATTCATCCATGGTTTGCTCGATAATGTATTCTGTTTTACAAACGCCATGTTTTTGAAGCCCGGTTCAAGCTTTGCTCTGCAATAGGGTCGAGTGAGCCTGCTGCCAGTTTGCAAAGGGGCCAGTTTCTGCAAATGGATGCCCCACCCGCCTCCCTGTGGGTCTGCAGGCCTGGCTGGCAGAGGGCGCAGGTGGCGTATGAAAAATCCAGGCTGGAGAATGTTCACACAGCCAGTTCCTGGTTTGGCCATTCATGTAATGAGGTTTTAATTTGATGGTAGATTTATCATCCCCATCACTGAACCCTTGTGCCAATATTTATGTTGTTTTGATGGTGGCTTTCACCATCTGAAGAGATGGCCTTTGTGTCATGGTATTTAGAGGGAAAGATGCTGCCACTCAAACAACCAGTGGATGGGATGAGCCAGGTAACAAGGATGGGGCTGTGAATGTCATTAGCCAGATATCGGCCAGATGTCCTTTTGGTTAATGTTCAAATTGGACATTCATTCTCTCTCTCTCTCTCTCTCTCTCTCTCTCTCTCTCTCTCTCTCTCTCTCACACACACACACATGCACACACACACACACACACATATTTCTGAGATCACCTATTATAATAACATGCTCACTGATCATCTGGGACTTTTTAATAAGCTGTAATATAAGTCTCAACACATGAAGACCACTAAGCAAGGGTGTGTTTTGCCCTTGTAACAGTAGGAGGGCGGGATGGTTGCTTGTGAGCAGCCCCTACAGTGTCTAGTGGAGAGACAGACCCAAGACCACTGGGGAGGGGTATGTGCCAAGGGAGCAACATTGGAGCTGAATCTTCCTCAAAGGAGATTTCCAGGTGAAAGAGAGAGCCTTGTGTTCTAGCCACGAGCAAAAGTCCAGGCTCAGCAGAGTTCAGGTGTTGGGTGCCGTGTGGGAAGCGCCTTCCTTTCCGATGTCCCATTTTACAGTTTTGGAAACTGAGGCCCAGAGAACAGAAGTGGCTCAATGGAGCCTCCTTCGGGAAGGCTCCCTGAGGAGGGCTGTTTGATTAGGGCCTCGAAAGACACATGGGGTTTCGCGTGATGGAGAAGAGGGAGATATCCAGACTCAAGACACATTGCCAAGAGGTGGGAGAGAAATCCAGGCAAAGGGAATAGAGCGAGCGAAGCCTGGAGAACGGGAGGCTCCAGGTCACCAGCACATGACACTCACTGGTATTCCATCCGTCACAGAAACGACCTGCTGCCTCCAGGAGGCAGGGAGGACGGACACCAAATCTCATTTGTAGCATCACCCGTTGGTATCAGCACTGTGTCGTGACTGTGTTTCCCCGAGCAGTGGCACAGAACTCTTGAAGACTGCGGACTCAAAGGAGGTTTGTTACCTTCCAGGCACCGCTGGGGCAGGTGGGAGACATCCACCTTCCGTAGGGAGGTGCTGGGAGGCTCCCACGGCAGCAGGCGAATGAAAAGGTTGGCAGAGCAAATGTCTGCAGGCACCCTGCTATTCTGCCTTGACACCGACTCTCACGGACCCTTCCCCATTGTTACAAAAGAACCGAGAAACGGACTTCCTTCTTGGTTGGATTACACTTTTCACAGCAGTTGGCTAAATGTGTCGGCGAGGGCAGCTCTGCTCCAGGGGCAGAGACCTGCCGTGATTCGAGAACATCAGGGCTTTATCGGGTGTTGCAAGAAATGTCATTGGCCTGGAAGATTCTTGCAAGATTTGTGTTGCAAGGTCCATCGGAACAATGAAGAGTATCTCTACATGTCAGTCCCGTGGCGGCTGTCCATGGTGCTGACCATCCTTGAGGTCTGCCTAGTCTCCATGTCTGCAGGCCAGCCTCTCCCGGGGCTCAGCCCTTTTCCCTCTCATTTCGCCTTTTCTGTGGGAAAGTATTATGAAGCTTACATGATCACTGAACAAAACAGATCCTTGACTTCATGGTTCACAGTTCATGTAGTGGATTTTGTGTGCCATTGTGAGTTCTGGTGATTTTTTTTTTCTTTTGGTCTTCCAAAGTTAGAAGGGGAATTTTGTTCATGCTGGTGATTTATGCTCACTGATACTCCATTCTGACCACTTCTGCTGAGGGGAGCCTCAGATGATCGCCGGAAAAGTCCCATTTTGATGGATAGACCAACTCTAGCTCCTTCTTTGCCTGGCCTGCAGGCCTCTCCTTGCCCTTGATGTATGTCTGGGAGTCCTGAATTTTATCATTCATGCAGGCCTGCATGAATTATGCAGTGCAGAACCAAGGAGATGGTAACTAGACGGTTTTTTCTCCTTCTCCCTCATGAGGGGGGAGAATTGCTTAGCTGTTCCCCCCTTCACACAATCCCAGAAGGCTGTGGGAGCGACGCGGGTTTTGAAGTCAGGCGGACATGGTTTTGATGCCAGCTCTCTCACTTATTTGCTCTGTTGACCTTGGCCAAGCCATGTATTCTCTTTGAGCCTCAACCGCCTCATCTGTAAAATGGGGGCAATTCCAACCTTTAAAGATTGCTGGAACCCCCTCAGTGAAATCAAATGGGGAAAGCATCCAGCACAGGGCCTGTTATGGAGTATTTGTAAACACCCCTCCCATCTTCTTAAAATGAAAACTCCTCAATCTATGCTGAGCAACACCCAATTCAGGTTATTTGAATTTGCACAAGCCCACGGGAGCCTGCAGTGGTGCCCGGAAACGGCTGGTTTGAATTCTTCTCAGACAGTTAGGCTCTTTGTGTAATTCCATCTCTCTCTGATTATAGGGAGCTGCTAACAGCTCCCAGCTCGCTGCCTTTCTTCCTCGCCTGCATCTTTAATGCAGTGGAGCTTGGCCTAATTATCGGGGGGCGGGGGGAGGAAGGTAGCCTCTTTCAAACCAAGGAGAACTCTTCCACGCCCGCCTTTAAGCTGACGCCTGATGACATTTACTTCATTTTTTTTGTGAAGCCCCAGAACAAAGAGATAATGGGACTTCAGAGGCACTTGCAGCTGGTTCCGGGCTGTTCTTCCTCTGCCCCCAGAAGAGAGAGTTGCTGAACAGTTGCTCTGCTCGCCTCTCGCTCATAAAACCCCCAAGCCGCGGAGGTCAGGCCCCGTCTCAGCTAGCCTGGCAGTGAGGAGCTGGCTCTGTCAGAATGTGGGGCATGGGCCCTTGTGATCCTCGGGCCCCTGCGGTGGGGCCTAAGAGGGTTTCTGGGAAATGCATGGGGCCGGCACGGGATCCCTGGGGCTCCACCACGTGAGAAGCGGCAGGCCTCCCGCAGAACAGCAGAGAGATGGAAACTAGGATGTGATGTCAGACAAGATTGGGGTCAAAGCCCAGCTCTGTTCCTCGCTCGCTGAGGGACTTGGAAAAGTGATGGAGCCGTGTCACCTCTCAGGGTCTCTGTCTGCAAAGCAGGATCAGAGTGTCCCCTGCCTCACAGGTTGCATTGAGGATTCGTTCCGATACAGTGTGTGCAACATCCTTGGCACCAATGACACTCACACTGCACCAACCGCGCCCCTTGTTTTACGTGAAAGCTGTGCTTCTAGAAAGGGATGTGCAGCTCAGAGTTCTGAAAACAACCGAGCCGTTTTAACTGGGCCTCATGAACCTTTCAATAAATTTGACTGGGGCCACTTTTTTCTTTTAGTTTGTCTTTATTATATTAAAATCTACACATTCACTGTAGAAAAGTTTTACAAAAAAGTTGGGAATAAAAATTGCCTATAATCCTACTTCTTATCACTCAAGAGCTCTCCAGGGAAACAGAACCAGAAGGAGGTTAGGTAGGTGGAAAGACACACAGACAGAAGGATAGAATGTGTTTATATTTATTTAAGAAAGCTGGCAAGTCCAAAAGCTGTAGGGCAGACCAGCAGGCTGGCAGTGCAGGCAGGAGCTAATGCTGCCGTCTCAAGGCAGAAGTCCTTCTCTGAGAAACCTGTTTGGCTCTTAAGGCCTTCAACTGATTAGGTGAGGCTCACCCACTCCTTGGAAGGAAGTCTCCTTACAGTCAACTAACTGGGATATTTCCAAATGGGGTTATTTTAAAGGGAGTCGCTCCTACATCATTCCCTTGCAGCCTGCAGGTGCTCAGCACTGGGTGGGTTTTCCCTCTAAACCCCCAGGTGATGGGAGGAGAGGGCTACCCTGGTGCTGTGAGGAGAGGCAGGACAAACCTGGGCCCTTTGCTGCCCTCCCTCCCGTCAACCCTCCCTGGCATCTCTCAGCTCCCTGAATGGGGAGTTGCCATAGTTGAAAATGGGGAAGCGAGACCTAGGTGTGCTGACAAAGAAGCGGGGGTGATGTGGCCCAGCAGGAACATCCCCGTGACCTGGATTGCTGATGGATGCCCAGGTGGAGGAGAGCATTGAGCTGTCTAGCTCGTTAGTCTCCGTTTTGCTTCACTGTGTGATCTCGGGCAAGACTCTTGCCTTCTCTGGGCTCTTGTTTAAAAGTGCTTCTGTCAGAGATGGTTCTCCCAGCCTAGATCTGATGACCCGTTTCCCTCTGGCTCTGCAGATGGAAGTGCGGTCTTCCGAGGCTGCTTCCGCAGGCCCCACAACCTCTCCCTGGCCCTGCCCGTGACGGCCGCCATGCCAAACATGTCCGTGGACAAGTGTGTGGACCTCTGCACAGAGAAGGTGAGACGGGGGGCCCAGGGAGGGGCGGTGTGGAACGGCTGGAGGAACAGGATGCTGGGCTGGAGAGGGATCCTGTGATCCGTGACGTGGGAGAGGGGTGTGCCCGTGTCATCTGTCCCCGAGTAGGAGTTACACGGGTCAGTTTCTCTCGCAATAGTGAGGAATACTCGGGAATGAACTGGGCCTAAAAGCATGGCCTTCGGAAGGTAAAGGCAGGGATAGTCCCACCTTGGGACGGACTGAGTTCCCGTCACTGCTAAGAGAGACACCAAACCTACTCTGGTAAAACTCGCTGGACCCAGCCTTGTAGGAGCGACCTTGGCTTGTTATCAGGTTATTCCTGGGCCAGCTTCCGGGGGAAATTCGGCTGTCGGGTTTGAGTAGAAACAGACTGAACAATGGACAGTCCGTCCCCTGCCCTCCGAATCAGGTCGTCCTGCTCCCACTTCGCTGTCCCATAGAACAAACAAGGCCATTAGGAGCCGCTCTCCCAGCCAAGACTGTGGTCCGTACAGGTCCCAGGATCCTCTTCGGCCTGAAAGTGTGGATCTAGGCAGTTTTCCCCGAGGCGTGGGTTCTGTCTCACCGTCAGGCCAGGGACATGGACCGTGGCGGGTGACACGCCGTGAGAAAGGCATTTACTTCTCAGTTTTCTTTCCAGTTCCTCCAGGAGAAAGCTCATCTCAGTGCTGAAGTGTCTTGAACACGCTCTACCCTCAACTAATCTCCCTTCTGCAGGAAAAATGGAGCCGACAAGGGCTCAGTCTTGGCAGGCAGAAGGTCTTAGTGAGAACTTAATTACACTGTTGTGTGTGCATCGTATTTGCATTTATAGTATGGAAACCATGGAAGCCGTGGGAGTGGTACAAGCTTCCTTGGAAATTTAAGTCCCAAAAAGTGAGTGGACTGAAAGGAGACAAACAAACAAATAAATAAATAACAGGGAAACAACAGAAAATGGTCACCATTAAAGTGGCGGGTATGTTAATTAGCTTGATTGTGATGATTAATTCACCACGTATACATCATCTTAAAGACATACAATTTTTGTTTGTCAGTTATACCTCAGTAAAGCTGGAAGAATACCATAGTGCAGGAGGTGCACAGACGGGGCCACGTTGTAAAAGTGGGGTTCACTCATGAAGTTTCGGGATCCTCAGTTGGGGAGAGGGATGGAGACAGGAAGACTCGGCTGCTCCGTGTCCAGGGGTTTAGCAGAGTTCTTCCTCATCCTCTCCCTCTCCCTCCCCAGGAGTACCCGCTGGCAGCCCTTGCAGGCACCTCATGCCACTGTGGCTTCCCCACCACGCGATTCCCCCTGCACGAGAGAGAAGACGAACAGCTGTGTGCCCAGAAGTGCAGCGCGGAGGAGTTTGAGAGCTGCGGGACCCCCAGTTACTTCATCGTGTACCAGACGCAGGTGCAGGGTAAGCCAGGCCTCCCCTAGCGATCCTGCGTGTTCTCCCACGGCCTCCCTCCCAGAGGTGCCCGGGACAGTCCACTTCACACAGCCCATACTGTGCAGGCCAGAGGGCAGAGGCGGAGGCCGGAGAGTGGAGGGCAGGGGCAGGGCTGGTGATCTTGACCAGGCTTAGAGATCCTGGATGGGCCACAGAGGGAGGCCCAGGCAAGGGGGGTGGGTTCCAAGGACCCTCAACTCTATCCCTCATACTGCAAACCTCCTTGGTAGCTTTTTTCTTGAAATGGAGACTGTGGCATTGAGTGGGAACGCATCCGGGCTGGGAGGGGGAGGCCTGGGTCTCCAACACAGACCCACTGCATGATCTTACAGATGGGGAAACTGAGGCCCAGAAGAGGTTCCATCATGTGCACTGGGTCGAACGGCTAGGAAGTGGCAGGGGTGGGACTCACACCCAGGGTTCATCTGCCCCTGACCCCTGCTCATGCCCTGCTCTTTGCAGACAACCGCTGCATGGACAGAAGGTTCCTCCCAGCCAAGTCCAAGCAGCTCATCGCTCTGGCCAGCTTCCCAGGTGCCGGCAACACGTGGGCTCGCCACCTCATCGAGCTGGCCACCGGCTTCTACACCGGCAGCTACTACTTCGATGGTTCTCTCTACAACAAAGGTGAGGAGGCTGCCTGGGCTCCAAAGGGCACACTGGGAGGTCATGGGACTACCCTTCCTGAGCACCTACTGTGTGCTGCTCAGCTCAACCGAGCATGTTTATTGAGACCTACTATGTGCTTGGTACCTTCCCTTTGCTTAGATCACTGCAGACATTCCTTGAACACCTAATCTGTGCAGGTACCTCAACACAGACATTTACTGACCAGCAACTCTGAGCTGTGCACAGAGATCCAATAACTCTGTTCACTTTGGGGACATTGATTACCTACTGCTATTTGTCAGGGAATCCAAGATTGTCACAAATTGTAGAAGGGTCCTTGCGGATCATTTGGTTCATGGATCCAGAGTGGTTTCATCTCATGTGTCAGTTCCAGTGAATCCCTGCTTTAGGACGATGTGTTGAGAAGGATTCTGAGCTTCTGTTCTCCAGGAACAAAGTGCCTTAATCTAGTAGTGATGCCTGTTGAGGGTGTAGGAGGAGGAATGGCCTACTTGCCAGGTACAGACCTTCTGCGCACACCCCCCAAAGTATATAAATCACTTGTCACACACAGCACTGGGCCCATGGTAGACATTCAATAAATGCCAACAATTATTAGTATTAATAACGACATGAATATATGAGTAATAATGAGGGCCATGATGAAGGAGTGCCCTGGGTAGAGGAACATAAAGGAGAAGGATACCTAAGTCAGCCAGAGACCTTGCAAATCATTTTATCCCAAGTTCCCATCCCAGTGCCTCGCACATAGTAGGTGCTCAATAAACATGTAAGAGAATGAAGGCCTTCACAAGTGAATGTGTGAGACTCCCGCAGGGGCCCAGCAGGGGGCGGGGTGGGTTTCTTCTTGCCAACCCCCCTCACCTGCCACGTGTCCTCCTCCCCCCACCCCCGCGCCCCATGGCAAGGGTTTAAAGGTGAGCGGGACCACTGGCGCAGCGGGAGGACCATCTGCATCAAGACACACGAGAGCGGCCAGAAGGAGATCGAGGCCTTCGATGCCGCCATCCTGCTCATCCGCAACCCCTACAAGGCCCTCATGGCGGAGTTCAACCGCAAGTACGGCGGCCACATCGGCTTCGCTGCGCATGCGCACTGGAAGGGCAAAGGTATGGCTAGGGAGAGGAGGGGTGCAGAGGAGAGGGGTCCTGGGGTGCAGCGGGCAGTGCACCGGGCCAGCGCTGTCTCCTGCGAGGAGTCCAGGAGTGCCTCCTTGAGGGCATGCGTGAGACTCCAGACCTCAGCTTCTAGTGCTCTTCCCCCATCCCGCCCGTCTGCTAGCATCACCCTCTGGGAATTAGGCTGGGATGCTCCAGTGGTTAAGGACATGGCTGTGGAGCAAGACGCCCCTGGGTTCTAATCCCAGCTCCATCACTTCCTGGATAAGCTCCCCCACCGCCCTGAATTCAGATCATCCCATCTGTAGCATGAGGGCAGCTCTAGAAGTTTAACCCTGCAAGCCCCTCAGCAGATGTGACCCATGGTGCATTATGGAAACGGAGACCCTCAGGTTGACGTGATCTGATTGATGGGGGGAGGAGGAGGTTCAAGAGTCAGGAGACCCAAATCCAGACCAAGGTCAACGGCTAAGTGGCCCTGAGGTCGCCCATGAGGTCCTGAGGGGTCACTTTGATGAACAAGCCCAACAGCTCTGGGTTGGGAGGCTCAGAGAGGTTAAGTGTCTGGCCCCCAGGTCACACAGCTGGAAAGTGGCAGTGTTGGCCCCCCAACCACCACCGAACTTCATTAAGATGACCTGGGTTTGAGAGTCAACTCTGACGTTGTGAGAAGGTGGCTGCCGCGTGGACGATGTCTCAGTGTGGGGTGGGTGGCAGCCCAGGGTCGTGGTGAGAACGTTGAGGTCTGACCCAACGTCTGCCGTCTTGAGTACCCTTAACCTTACTGGGTCTCAAACGCCCCTATTAGTTAGCACCCGTAGCTCCATGGTGGGAAAGAGAATCACATCAATTCTCCCACAATTAACCCATTTTACAAATGGGACAAGCTACGTTCAGGGAGGCCAAGGAGACTTTTCAGGAAGTCCCGGGAGCTGGGGTTTGGATCCCAAGGCATCTTCCTCCAGGGCCCTTGCTCTTAACCACTGTGCTAATCCTCGGTGGTGGATTCAATGAAATGTCTGTGGTTAGGACTCACCCAGTTTAGAGCCCCTGTAAATGCAAGCTCTCCCCCCCTCCACGCCCCCCAGAATTCATCCAGGAACGAGGCTGTTCCAGCCGGAAGTCAGGAGGGATGCTTCCGGCTCCTCTCAGCCCTCCCCCGGCTCCCAGCTGCTCCGAAGCCCTGGTCCCTCCCGAGAGGACTGGAGCCTGGCAGGATGTAGCGGACTCGGCATCCACCAATCACACCCTCAATGTTGATGTTGTTGATTAAAACCCTGACCAACCGTGCCCTGGTTCCTGTTCACCCATCTGTCCCTCTCTCCGCCTTGCTTCCCCTCTCAGCGAGGGAATGAAAACTTGGACAGGTGGTGGCATTTGTTCTATTGTTCCCAGGAGCAAAGAGGCCTCTGAATTATTTATTTGCAGAACAATTGCAAGGGAGCACTCACCAGCCAGGGCCAGGCGGGAAAGTCTGCAGATGCAAATGGCAGGAGCCTGTCCCGGGAACAGACCCTCTGCTTGCCGAGCTGGAGGGGACCTGAGAGATCTGAGCCCTGTGGTCCTCAGCCCGGCTGCGCATCCGAACCCCCAGAGGAGTGTGGGAAAATCCGTGCTCAGGCTGCGCCCGGGCCGTGACTGCATTGCAACCCGGGCATCAGCATTTGTAAAGCTCCCAGCTGCTTCCAGTGTTCAGGCGGGACTGAGAACCCTGCCTCATCCTCTGTTTATTAATGGGGAAACTGAGGCCCAGAGAGAGGCGGGGGCCTGCCAAGGTCCTGCTGCCCAAGTGAAAAGGGGGGACTCCCTTGAGAAGCTCAGGGGGATGCAGGCACTTAGCCTTCATTATCTCATTTAAACCATCTAATGTCCGAGGAGGTAAGAAAGGCGCCATAATCACCCTTCATTTCATAGGTGAGACACCATCGCAGGAAGGGAGGAAGTCATGTGGCCGAGGCCCCTGGTGTAGACTGAGCTGGGTGCTGACCAGCTACCAGGCTCTTTCTCACCCGGGGCATTGCTGACCTGGCGCCCAGAGCTTCTCCTCTCCTGGCATAGGCCAGTGTCTCGGGTTCAGACCATTTTAAAGGGGCCGCCTTGCCTCTTTTTCCTCATTCAGGACAGCTGGGAGCTTTAAAAAGAGAGAAGGGATGGTTAGGATTGGCTAAGCCTGGAAGCTTCGGGGGGTGAGAGAGTGGGGGGTTTCAGCACACACATCTCATGTTGGGGTTCTGGGGTCCCCATATGAGTCTGGAATTGAGGGGGAACCTTCCCCTCCCAAGCCTGACTCAGGTCCTCCAGAGCTCTGGCCCCGAGCCTTCCCCAAAGAACCAAGCCCCACAGCCCACACCCACCCTCTCTCTCATTTGGGTTTGCATCTGGCACTTGGGTTTGAGACCCTCACTTTTGGGCCCGGCACCAGCCATGTCAGGATCCCTTGGGAGTCCGTTAGAACAGCAGGTTCTGCCCCTGGCCTGCTGAGTCAGAATTCCGGAGAGGCCCGGCCACCACCTGTGTTTCAGCGACCCCTCCCGGTGTTTCCGACGCGCCCTCCGGTTTTCCAGCCGCTGCTTCACATCCTTGCGGCTCCAACAGTGGCCTGTCAGCCAGTGGCATCGACTTCACTGGGGTTTTTGGAAAAGCAAATCTCAACCCCTCTCCCACGCCCAGTCTTACTGGATCCAAATCTGCATTTTAATGAGAAGCTTCATGCGCACTTGAAAGTTTGAGAGTCTCTGCTTTAGGATGCCCTCAGCTTGAGTGTGAGGGTCACCTCCCTCAGGGCAGAGGTCACCCCGCTGTTGAGCGTGTCCATCCCACCCGGCCTGTGTCCCCTCCGGGTTAGAGCTGGGTTGAGGCTCCTATAATGCCCCCCCCCCAGTTGGTTCCATAACATTAATTTTACGGTGTCCCTGGAGTGGGTCCAAAGCAAAGTTTTATGTGCTGTGATTACACAAGGTGAATTGTCCTGAGTCTGCTTAATGAAACAGGGCCTGTGCTTAATGATTCCGCGGGGAACTGAGTCCAGTGAAGCTATTAATCAGGCTCCGTTCCTCCCATCCACAGGAAGGGGGAGCCGCGTGGCCAGGCCCACGTGCGCAACAGTTCCGGCACAGCCAGCCCCCGTGACCAGTGGTCCGTGGCTCAGTGAGCCTCCGTTGCCCAGTTTGAAGGCAGCAATCCATTGCTGGAAACCCTGAGCTAATCAAGGCTTTTGTTTTTTATTTTTATCCTTCTCCTTTCTAACGAAGTAGCTTTAAGTGAGGGATCTGTGCCATGGGGGCGGATACAGCTGCTGCCCAGACTGCCTGGATATCACATGTGGTCTTGGGGGAAAGCTCTGACCTAAATGATGGGGCCTGGGGGGCACCTCAGAGGTGCTGGGGGCCAACATTTCTCTCCTGTATCCCAGGCCCTGAGCCAGGGCCTTGGTAAATCTCACTCCATTTCATCTGCACAGCATCTAGGACGCAGGTCCAGCACAGTCACCGTTTCACAGATGGGTAAACTGAGGCTCAAGGACATCAACTAATGTCCAAGGTCACACACACAGCTAACGTGGAGAGGAGCTAGGTTTTGAACGCAGGCAGTCTGACTGCGAAGTCGTCATAGACAGCATCGGGAGAGAAGAGCGCCTGAGCTGAAAAGATGAGGAGCTCAAAGGGTTTGCCAGGAGGGCAGGAGCCAGGCTCAGCCTAGGGTGGATGTGGGTTCGAATCCTGCCTTGGATACACTGTGTGGCTTCGTGCTTTGAGCTTCCGCTCTCTCCCCTGTGTGTAAAATGGGGCTAATACTATTAATTCCTCCTCTTCAGGCTCCTTGTGGGCACTGCATGAGGCAATGCCTGCACATTGCCCAACACAGCCCTGACTCACAGTGGGTGCTTAGGCCACACACGTTCGCGTCCCACGGAGGTGTGCAACCAACAAGGAGGCCAACCCGCTGCGGGACCTGGCCACCACGCCCCTCCCTTTTCCTTGAGGACCACTTCCAGCGACCGCTTGCGATGGTCAGAGTGGCCAGGCCCGGAGTCGGGATCTCTATGTCCCTGGTGACTGAGTGCTGTCTCCATCCCCAGGGGCGTCTGCCACGGGAGCGGCAGTTGTCCTGAATCACCGGGGATGCTGGGAGGTGACTCGGGAGCGGGGAAATTCTAAAAAAAAAAAAAAATAGTGAAACAGACTATGTTCATGCTAAATTTTCTCTAATCACCCAGATACATCTGGTCTCAACCCATTATAACAGTGTAGGCCCAATTAGCCAGATACATTGTAAATAATCTATTTTAGGGATAAAGAATATCCTTCTCACCAGCATAAATACTTCCCCAGCAGTCAGGGTGTGCTAGCAGGAGCTCTGGGGGAGCGGGAGCCCCACCACAGGGCCTGGTGTCTTCTACAGACAAAAAGGAGTCCTTTATCACAACTCGGGCGGGCGGCTGGGAATTTCAGTTCCTCTCAAGAACTATTTATTGAGCTCCTGCTGGGTGGGAGGCAGCGGGAGAATGTAGGGGTGAGGCTGCTGGTGCCTTCGAAATAACAAAAGAGCAAGATCAGAACCTGGAATCAGCCAGGCCTGGTCTGGATGGTGCTCCCTGGCCGCGTGGCCTTGGGCAAATCACTTCACCTCTCTGGGCCTCAGTTTACCCAATGGTGATAGTGAAGAGTAGTCCTTTCTTTCCAGGGTAGTCGTCAGGATGCACTGAGATCACGGGGACCCATCACCCGGCAAGGGGTGCAGATTTAGTTATTAAGAACCATCTGGGCTCCCCAGCGGGGCATAGGAGACTCACTGACAATCCTTCAATAAACATTTCCTTCTGGAGGGAGCACCTGGCATTGTCCTCGTGGAAAGCAGTGGGTCTGGCTTCAGGGTTTCGGAGAGCCTGCCCCGTGATTCTCCAGCTGGGGCTGGCCTCCCTTCCTGTCCCGGCCTCCCTTCCTGTCCCAGCCTCCTCCTGGGCTGGCCTCCCTTCCTCTGTCCCAGCATCCTCCTGGGCTGGCCTCCCTCCCTCTGTCCCAGCATCCTCCTGGGCTGGCCTCCCTTCCTCTGTCTCAGCCTCCTCCTGGCTGGCCTCCCTTCCCCCCTCCCCAGCATCAAGTCAGACGATCCCCAAAATACCTTCCCAATTTTGGTGACAGTCCATCCTGTCCTTTTACAAACCTAGCAAGGGGAGTGTGGAGATCTACCAGGAGTTGAGGTGTTCTCACTGCTGTGAGTGACAGCGACCACTCGGACCCGGGTCCCGGGAGCCACTCCGCCCTCTGACTCGCCCTCCCTCCTCTCCACAGAGTGGCCCGAGTTCGTGAGGAACTACGCCCCGTGGTGGGCCACGCACACGCTGGACTGGCTCAAGTTCGGCAAGAAGGTGCTGGTGGTGCACTTCGAGGACCTGAAGCAGGACCTGTTCGTGCAGCTGGGCCGGATGGTCCGCCTGCTGGGCGTGGCCGTCCGCGAGGACCGGCTGCTGTGCGTGGAGAGCCAGAAGGACGGCAACTTCAAGCGCTCGGGGCTGCGCAAGCTGGAGTACGACCCCTACACGGCGGACATGAGGAGGACCATCCAGGCCTACATCAAGCTGGTGGACGCGGCCCTGAAGGGGCGGAACCTCACGGGCGTGCCCGACGACTACTACCCCAGATGATGGGCCCACCGGGAGGGGCCTCGAGACCCCTGGGGACCCCGCCCACCCGTCTGGCCCCTTTTTGGTCTGGGGACAGCCCCCTCGGCTGCTGCTGGCCTTCAGCGCGTTTCCTGCGTGACACAGGAGCCTCAGGGGACAGCCACCTGCTCACAGCCCTTCACAGCCCAGGAGGCCCCTGATCAGGGAGCCCCAGCCACACAGGCTTCTGTCTCCCACGGCCCTGCCCCCACCACTCTGGTTCTCCCCGTGGGAGGGCGGGCTCCTGCGTGTCCCGGAGACTCGGGTGCCTCCCACGGTGCTGAGGACCTGGGTGCTGGGAAAGGTGCCCCCGGCGCTCCGCCCCCCGGGGCTGGGCTCTCGCGGGCTCTTCTCTCCACCAAACAGCAGCGAGCGGCCCCGGGTTCACCAGGCCACTTGGGTGGGAGAAGGGTTGTGGAGGTTTCTCTCTGGCGTCCCGTTTCTGACACTCCAGGTGGGTGGGGGAGCCCCAGTGCTCGCAGGAGGTTCACCGGCACCACCAGGTGGGGCCCTGCATCACCAGCCCACCCCCAGGTCACACTGCTCCTGAGACGGAGCTAAGGTCAAATTCTGCCCTTTCCTCCCCCACTGGGCCCAGGAGGTGACCTGGGGATCCCTGGTCCCACGTCCAGGGTTCTCCGGGCACCAACAGTTAGCCCAGCAGATGGCCGAGGGCCCGGGCAGACTCTGAGTGAAAAGGGGAGCCCCGTCACAGTCCTCCACCGCGGGTGCGGCACATGGAGCTCACACTGCCTCTGACCCCCGCCGCCGGGGCCTGCGCTCTCCAGTGAGAGAGCAAGGGTGCTCCCGGCCAGGCGGGGCCAGACCCAAAAGAGACCCAGCTCCCTTCCCGCACCATCGGCCTCCCGTGATCACAGTCCCAAAGGGGTGGCTTCCCGCTCCACTCGAGGCCTTTGAGGAATGAAGCGAATGCGATGGCTCTTCACTTCCACACAGACGCCGCTCCCCGAAGCTGAGACATCAAACCAAAGGATTCCTGGGGACCCCGTGTCCCCAATCCTCGATCTTCGAAAGCATGGATCCAGGATCCCTCCGCTTCCCCACCTTGGAGACCAGCGGCTTCCCACCTGAGCTCCTGCACCGCCCCCATCACGTAGATGCAAAAGCCATAGGTCACAGCTCTTCACTGTTCTGTCCGGAGCACCCCCTCCCCAGCAGCCCCCCTGAAGCCTTGGGGTGCAAGGACAGACTCACTCCCAAATAGCCAGGAGGCCATGGAGAAGGCGAGCGTAAAGAGATATATTTTTTTAAGAGGAATATGACTAATACATTCTGCCCCCTGGAAGCTGGCCATGCAAAGCCAAGGGGCCAGGGGCTCAGACCTGCGATTCTTGCCCTGAGCCCCTCCCCTGTCGGCTGTGGACGACCCCAGGGCCCCCCCACCCCAGGGGCTCTGAATGTATTTTGTACCGCGTTTCTTTCCCCCAGGCTCATGTCTAGTCTTTGGGGAAGCCTCCCCCCGCTTCCACCCACAGGCCAGCTCGCTCTGGGAGCCTCTGGGTCATGGCCTGGGCCAGCTCTTGGCCGGCGGTCACCTCGGGCCACGGGCCTCTGTCTGAAGATTCCTCAGGTCAACACCATCATTAAAAGTGAGTTTTGTTGAGAATTCCACCCGTGGCGGAGTGTTGTGTAAGGCGCGCTCACAGTGGGGTGTTCTTTGGGGGTGTCTGGGGTGCACACCCGTTTGTGTCTGGGTGACTCTGGAACTGCCTGTGGAGAACCGTGCGCCTCTGTGTGTGACACTGTCCCGAGGCTGCCCCCCCCGGCCCCCCCCCCCCCCGCCCACACAGGTGCGCCAAGAGCCCGTTTCTGGGGTGTGTGTGGGTTCCTGTGTGTGGAGTCACGCACGCGTGGAGGAGGATGTGCCTGTGTGTGTGAACCTGGGCGTGAGAAGGTGCCTGTGGAGGGATGTCTTCTACCCAGGCCTTTTGTCCGTGGTGTGTGGTGGGGAGGGGGGGTTGGACAGGGAGAGGTGTGGGGGTACGGAGGGAAGGGGTACTAGGGTGAAGTGTCAGTGCCCCTGCTTGGAAGCCACTGAGAGGCAAAGAGTCAGAAAAGGCCTACGTTCCCGGGTGGGTGGTGAGTCTGCGTGTCCACACCTCCCAGTGCCCCGGAGGGAGGGCCTACCTCTGTCCGCACAGGCAGAGGGCCTCTGTGGGAAGAGGCCGCGGCCCCGGGCACTGCTCACAGCCACGTGGACAGTGGGGGAGAGGGTGGTCAGCCGCTGGGACAGGCAGGGGGAAGGGGAGCCCGGACCGGGAGGGGGGGTGGAGGTCTGGAAAGGAGGACCTCAGGAAGGGGAGAGTCAGGGGCTGTTCCAGGATCCAGGGAGGGCCCTCCTCCTCTGGGGGCTTCTGTTGGCCCCACAAGTCCTTCTGTGGTGATCCACTGGGCCCCAAGCTAACCTCTGACCCCCGTCTCACATCTGGACTCTGGTCCCAGCCTGAGCCTGAACCAGTATGCCCAGTCTGACCTGGTCCCAGATGACTGATCCTGAGTCACAACGAAGCTGGAATCCTGATCACAGACTGAGCCCTGATCCCCCCAGGGGCCCGGCCTCAGTTCCCTCCCCCCCTTCTCTGGCGCATTGCTCTGCCCCCTCCCCCGCTCTCCCTCTCTCACCATGTTCCTTCCCATTGCCCCTCTCTCAGTTTCCCTTCTTGTGGTCTCGTGTATTTCCTCCAGCTGCTCATAACCCTCTCTCCTTTCTTGTCCTCTCTCTTTCCTCTCCCTCATTTCATCATTATCTCTTTCTTGGTTTCTGCTTCTGCTGTGCAAGCATCTCTACATCTATCCCTTGAGCTCTGAGCTCCTGTCTCCCTGCCCTTCCTCCCTTCCTCACCACCCTATTGTCCTCTCCCCAGTCCTCCTCCTCCTCGTCTTCCCGGAGAGTGGGCGTGACTCAGCGGGATCCAGACACAGTGAGACACACGCTACCCAGGCCAGTAACCAAGGAAGTGGTTTCCTTAGCAACAGAATCTGCAGGCATGTGCTCCACTGCCCCATCCCTTAGCTATTACAGTGAGGACTGGGGGCGGGGGTGAGGGCGGGAGTGGGCGTCAAGCCTGGACACAGGGAAGTCAGTCATGACACTGCTGTTGTGACCCTCCTGAGAGGGGCCCGTGGTCCGAGACCAGCTCCGTGCCTGGCATTGTGGAGACACCAGAAATCGGAGAGGTTGGGGGGGAGGTGGGGTGTGGGGTCAGAGCGAGGCATATCAGGTGGAGAAAGAGGAGGGAGGAAGCCACAGGCTTGGTGACAGACCGGATGTGGGCAGGGGGAAGTGACAAGGCCGAGAGGCCCCCACAATTCTTCCTGGGCAGCTCCTGGGAGGAGGTCCTTGGGCTGACAGCAGGGAGGGAGGGGAACGGCTGTGAGCTGACGTCACTCCCTGTCCCCTGGAGTTCACCATCTAGTTGGGATGGCGTGGGGGGTGGGGGGTGGGGGGGAGGTGGAGACAGACACGGCAATATCGCGTTCAGTTCTCCCTATAAATTAGTGACGAGGAGCGCGGGAGAGCAAGAGCGGCCCTAGGGGCGTCAGAGGCACAGAGACGGTGATCCATTTGCTCAGGGGAGGCCCCTTGGATTCAAACCAACACCCCAGAGCCTGTCCCAAAGACAGAAGACAGAACAGGGTAGAAAATGTGGAGAGGTGGGTGGGGCGGGGTGGGGGGTGGGGGGGTTAAAGCACTTTTCCGGTACTTTTTCCCACGGGGAAAATAAAAATACGTTCAATCTCAGAGAAACAGCAAATGGGGAGGGAGGAGACAAAAGCGCCCCACGTAGGATCGCTTTTGCAGCTATAAATAATGTCCCCAAAGAAAACACCTGTCAAGATGCATCATTTCCAGGGAGACGAATTGCTCCCCCCTCTTTCAGGCTGATATTTAAGTGACTGGGGGGGGGGGGGGGTGATGGGGGCGAAGGGCAGAAAGTTGGTCAGGGGAACCCACAAAAATCGAAAACCTCGCTCAGCTTCTCCCAAAATGCAACACACCGGCGGCGAGGAGGGCTGTAAATCTGGGTGATCATCGCGTCATCCTCGAGAAAGCAACATGTTTATTTATCACGTATGCACGTTGACAATTTCCCCTCAAATTTACAGTCTGTGATCCGCCAACGCGCAGGGGGAGAAACATGGAAATGAGAAGAAACAGGCGGAACATCGAGGAGGAAGAGGTGATAAAATATTCATCCCCTCACCCACCCCCAGTACCCGCCGCCTTAAATCCAATTTCAAACGCAGGTGGGGAGACATCCGGGTGGGCGGGCCCCGCCGGGGTCTGCCTTTCAGGCCGCTGAGAGCTAATTGAACGGAACAGTCATTACGGAATAGAGTGTGTTCCAACAAAACGGTTTCTGTGTATCCTGAGTCATTCACTAAACAATGATGGGGAGTCACCAGAAGTGAGAGAGACGGTTGATCTTGGTGGGGACAAGACGTGTGTGTCCTACAATGAGGGACTGGAGGGAGGGGCAGGTACCCAACCTGTAACCATAGTTACCTGGGCCTCCAAAACTGAGAATGCCCAACCCTTATCCCAGACCTTCTGAAGCAGGTTTTCAAAAAAGCCAGGCGTCAGTGGGAGGGATGCTGTGGGCCTGCGGGAGGCCAAGTTGTGTCCCCAGTTGCCTTGTTGGTAACTACTGGCGCGTGCCCAGGCACCAGGACAGCAGACGCCCACAAAGGATCGTCAATATCCTCCATGCATCCCTGGCCTTCCATGCATTATGATCCATGCATCCCTGGCCCTAGCACAGCACCTGGCGCATAGTAGGTGCTTGGGAAATGCTTGTTGATTTCCTGAATCAGGAATATGAAGGGTGTTCAGAGAAAAGCGACCAGTCATCAGCTGAAGCAGGCTTAAGTCATGCCCCTCACTGTCTGGAATTTTCTCTCAGTAGTGCTGAACTGGGTTTTCTCCTGCCCCACAAACCTCCCCCCCCGCCACACACACACACACACTTGAATCCTCAAACCCCATGAGTGGTGTGGTGTGGCCCACTCATACGGGCTCTCAAGAGCCAATGATGCACATATTCTCTCCAATTCACACTCAGTTACATCACATTGGTAGCTTGAAATTGGCCACAGTGAGAATATTTACACCAGGGAAAATGGCAAATGCAACAAAGTCAGGATTTTTAGTTTTGGTTTGGGGTGTTCTTTTGGGGAGTGCGGGGGAGAGCCGGTTGTTAAGTATTTACCAGCACACAGCTGCCCAAAGCACACAGGCACACACTGTTCCATTTCTTGTCTTTTCTGTGACTAGGCACAGTGTCCCCTCCACCTGGAAAGCTTTGTTCTGGCTGATATCTCTGCCCCCTTGAGACTCAGCTCCTCCTCTTCCAGGCAGCCTCCCCTGCCTGACCCAAGAACCAAATTCAGAGACTTCTCTAACCTCTGCCGTCACAGCTCTGGACATGGCCATTGTCTGATCACTTTAGCCATGTGGGGTGTGTGTGTGTGTGTGTGTGTGTAACCAGGGCATGAACTCTGTCAGGGACTTCACCTTTGGATTTCCTGGCACAGACTAGGGGATGAGCAGATATTTAGCCAATCAAAGGATGAATACATTGATTGCATTTAACACCACCCACCAACCTCTCAGCTCTCACAAACTTTGGGGTGAATGGATAGAAGGATCCACCTGGCCAGACAACAGCCAAGAAGAATGGGGAATGTAAAACCACGCACAGGGATGATAGCAGCTAATGTGTATTGAGTACTAATTACACACTGGGCGCTATGCTAGCCACTTCCTGTGTATCACATCACTGGGAGACGGGGACACTAGGTCTCCCCATTTTACAGTCGGGGAAATCAAGGCTCAGAGAGGTTAAGTAACTCACTCAGTGTCACACAGCGGGGAATGATAAAACTGGGCTTTGAACTCAGGCAGCCAAGCCTCAGTCCCTATGTCTAAACACCATACTGCATCCTGGGGGAGGCATGAGCCCAGAGCCAAGAAGGGAGGGATGGTTCTGGCAAAGCGACATGGAGAAGGCAGCTGGCCTTTGTGGGGCCGAGGACCCAGGGGTGGGGTGAAAGGAGAGAGAGGCAAGGCCATCACTCGTGCAGCAGGCTGCGAGCCGGAGCCCCAGATGACTTTGGGTTCTGAGCAGCAAAGTTGGTTTATAGGTTCCCATGGCAACTGCCAAGCAATAATCTCATACTCCGAACAGCTCAGTGATTCTCCAGAAATTCTCTCCTTTTTGCCTGCACTGCTGCCCCTCCCAACTGATGGAAGCAAGGTAACAGCTTCATCCCCAGGAGAGACTGTGCTGGAGAAGAAACGATGGCCTGAGACCCTTTTATGATGACGCTGATGGAGGGAAATTTGAGGGGCGGGGGGCAGAACAAAAGAGAAAGAGGGTCTCAAACCCTCGAAGTGCCAATCGTCAGACTGGGAAGGGACTGCAAAAAGGGCTTCTCAGAGCAGCTTGCAAATCGAATGAAAACCACGCATCGTCTCCCCAGGAAGATGTGAGCATACACATACACCCCCCCACACACACACAGAGTGCTGCATGTAGCTACAGGCAGCATGGAGAACCCTCAGGACCAAAAGCAGGGAATTAAAAATCATCCGATCTAGCCATTTCCAA